CAAAAGCTGCCGCTCGCGGTGAAGCAGGAAGTGAGACCTTTGCGAGCGGTGCGCGAGCATCAGAAGCCGCCACTCGCAATGAGGAAGGGGCCTGACATATGATTATAGGAGTAGTTCATTTTGGGCAGATTTATTTGGAAAAAAAACACCAGTTTCTAAATGTGTATCAACAAAAACATTTAGCCCTGCGCTCATACGCCCAGTTCTCCTGGGCGGCTGCAATAGGTACATTATTCTTCAGCCAAAGTACTTAGAACAAAAGCAAAAAAAGCTACCTGGGCGCTATCCCAAATCCATATGCACATTTAAATAGCAGGAGGTTTTTAGTACCACTCTAATAGACTCTAAAGTGTAATCTCACCTGCCGCATCATGGCAAATCTCATAGGTGAGTCTTACACTAACAATTCACCTTGCTGCTTTCAGCTAAAGAGACAAAAAGGGGTATTCGTTGAATCCCCTACATACGTATTAACCTTTAATAGGGTACACACCGGATGGACAGCTGCGTGGACTCCTGGGTACTCCGCTATGGTTACATTATTCATCAGACCTAAATACACAGAACAAAAAAAAACTGTTTTGTATTCCTGTCACTAATTCTATGTTCATCAGCCTTCCATCAATTTAATCCATCTTCGCATCATGGCTAAGAAAAAAAAACAAAAAAAATAATAAAACAAATCTCTCCGTCCTATATATCTTGCTCAATAGTTTATAGGTTTTGACAAGAGTATGGTTTTACCAGCAATTAATTCAAAGTTTTAAAAGGAACAAGAAAAGTTCAATAGTATAATGTTTGTTCACTCTTTTATGCGTATTACAATGTCTCTGCCATCCATAATTTTTTTGTTTTTTGGTTTGTACATACAACACCAAAGTTGTACTTCATCCATTTTCCAAAGTATGGTATCCACATTGTCTTGAATACTGTGAATACACTGATGGTTGTACGTTGTGCCCAGGTGATCGGAAATGTCTCCTTTCAGTTCACCTAATTCAGGAGTGCTTTTTAAAAATTTATTTTATTTTATTTTTATTTTTTATTCCATTTGTTTTAAAAAAAAAAAAAAGAGCCCTGAGTTTATATGTATTGTGTTATTAGAGAACTATTGTCAGAATGTTTGAATGAATTAAATAAAGCCCTTTCTAAAATGATAAAGGGGCAATTGCATGCACCTCGGGTAGAGAATTAGATTCAACAGATTTGACTAGAGCAAATCGTAAAAAAAAAAATTACTTATTCCAAAAAGTCATTTGTGTTCAATACAGAATGATACTGAGCATTTGTTATTTGAGAGATGCATTCACAATGCCCCAGGAAAAATAAATGTTGGAAGTCTATAGAAGCGAGATTGTATTTTAAATTAATAACAAAAAAAACCCTTTTAACCCCTTTGCTACCAAGTTATATTTATTACAAAAAAGTGCACACCATGGATTAACTGTTATCTCATTGATAGCTGTTCAGGGATATCTTTAAAAAAAATGTAAAAATAGAATTTTGTAAATGTATACACTTGAATAATTAATCATTTATTAATTCACCCAGAGGGGATAACACAAACTTTAGGGATTATCTGTATATAAGAGTTTAGAAGATTAAAACAATCTTGATAATATGTAGCCATACAGCCCTTCTCATAGAGCATTTAGATTGAATACCATATATTATTTGTCACCATTCAAACAGATTCTTCCCTTTACAAAATATTAGTAAAAAAATAGATTTGAAAAAAAGAGAAACAAAAAAATAGATCACATACCTTACTTCAGGAAACTTTAACTCGCTTGCATTTCTGTAAATATAATTATCCAAACATAAGCCATGAGACTGCACAAATACCATCTGTATTTATGCGGAATGCCTACAAACAGTAAGTACAGTTTCATAAGGTAGTTATACTATACAAGGAATTGTAAACTGCCATTACAGCCTTCAGTCCAAATAGTACCTGTAGTGAACTCTGTGTGATCAGAGCTCTCTGACACCATGCTGTTCCCTGGCATTCTCTTCTACCAGCTTTTCTGAAGTGTAACCTTCGGCATTCCGGGTATTGTGGACTACATCTCACATAATACTCTTTCAGCCATATGGTTGGCAAAGCATTAGGGGAGATGTAGTCCACAGCATTGCTGGAGTGTATGGGAACAAAGAGGGGCAGCCATCTACAGTCTCTCTGCAGAGATACAGAGGGGAGAATAGTGTCATTGTAGTGAAATAAATTATCTGCAGTGTGAAATCCAGTACAGAAGCAAATGAGCAGTAAGTGGGGCTTTATTGGATTTGCAATGTGAAGCTAACATGGTCATTTATTCAGTAAAGTGAGAATTCAAAGTTAATTTCAAATTTAAGGTCAAACTAGCCAAACTAGAAGAATTATCTAGATCAACTATGTCTTCATTTCAGCTACTCTGGTCTGAAATTAGAAATTCACAATCAATTCTAACTTTAGCAAATAATCCGGAATATCTTGCACATGTAGGCACACTCTTGGGAGGTAAAGGATTATTATAGCTACCTATTATTTTAGTGACTCCAGACAAAGTCAATGAAGGATGGGGGTCAGGTGGTACTTCTAATTGTGGATTGTTCATATAGTAATTTTTGGATTTTTTTGTGTTCTTCAGATAATGATTCATGTCCTTGATTAAAAAAAAAAAAAAACATCTTTCTCGTATTTATGTCATGACTTAAATTAGTTTTCATTATCACAGTGATATTGTTCTTTAAAGGACCACTCTAGGCACCCAGACCACTTCAGCTTAATGAGGTGGTCTGGGTGCCAGGTCCAGCTAGGGTTAACACTTTTTTTCTAAACATAGCAGTTTCAGAGAAACTGCTGTGTTTATAAATGGGTTAATCAAGCCCTCAAATTCTCTACTGGCTGTCTCATTGACAGCCGCTAGAGGCGCTTGCGTGATTCTCACTGTGAAAATCACAGTGAGAACACGCAAGCGTCCATAGGAAAGCATTGTAAATTCTTTCCTATGAGACTGTCTGAATGCGCGCGCAGCTCTTGCCGCGCATGCGCATTCAGCCGAAAGGGAGGAGAGGAGGAGGCGGAGAGCCCCCCGCCCGGCGCTGGAAAAAGGTAAGTTTTACCCCCTTTCCTCTCCCCAGAGCCCGGTGGGAGGGGGACCCTGAGGGTGGGGGCACCCTCAGGGCACTATAGTGCCAGGAAAACAAGTATGTTTTCCTGGCACTATAGTGGTCCTTTAATTGCATTACCTAGACCTGTTTGCATAATTCCACATTCTCAATTTTATTTTTATCAATTTTTTTAATTTAGATTATTTCCTTTACTGCTTTAAGTTACTTCTACCCCCTATTTTTAAAAAATAACTTACCACCACTGGGATAATCTCGTAAATGCAGGGAAAGTCTCAAGGTGTCAAGTCATATGCTTTTCATAGACAATCATTGAGGACACAATGCATATTTGTGGTTATCACTACAATTCAAAATAACTGCCCTCCTCACCTTTAAAATAGTGATTTCGCTCCCCTTTTTTCCAGCACAGCGAGGGCGTTTTCATGTCTCATGAGCAAGGTTATTAATTAAGAATTTTGAATTTAATGTGAATTTCAAATATAAGGCCAAAGTAGCTGACATGGAAACATTTTCTAACTCCGCTATGCTTCCCATTCGTCTACTTTGGCCTTCACATTTTAAATCACTTTGAATTCTCATTTACTGAATAGCCCTGAAGGTGTGAGTTTGGTCCGTCTCAAATTCTTAACTTCCTGTTAGGATATAAGTCAGGGCAGGAGTCTAAATATTTCATTGGAGGGTAAGGAGCTGTAATGGGGAATACCCTGTGAGGTAGTAACATCTTTTTCAAAATGACCAAGACCTGTGTTGCATTCCACACGGTTTTTCTATAATTATCCTAATAACCAACATCCAGGCAAAATAAAAGTGGTTAATTTCTGACGGCCGAGAAATACAAAGCAATAAAAATCAATAATGAATAATTTCATAAAGCTGTTAAATCCTACTAAAAAGTAAATAATCTGATTTAATTAGAATTAATAAAAAACTGTCATTTCTGTTAAACTGCTTATGAAGCATAGCAGAAGTAATGATTCAGTTTGAAAACCTACCTTTTCAGTGTGTGATAACAGACCAGGAAGCTACAACGTTACACTACCTGCTCTAACTTTCTAATCTCTACAGAATGTCAGCCTGTTACTTTCTCCACTTCTCTGGCCTGCTATTGGTGTGGTCACCTGTTAGTCATTGAACTGTGCGATTTCATTGGTTGCTCCACAGAGGTGGGAGTTTTGTTGCCCCAATCAGAAAGCAGTAGGATATGATACACTATATCTATACAATGTATGAGTAACCAATGAAAGTGTGCTGTTTGGTGAATGACAGTAAATCTCACCAATGGCATGACAGAACAAAGGTATAGTACTATTAGGCTGCCTCATGTTGGAATCTGAAGTAATATGAGGGAAGGAGTCTCCTGTCAATTAATTACCTCACAAACCCCCATTCTTTATTACATGTCTGCAACTAAATACAAAGAAAATTGTAATAATATTTTAAAAGTAACATTTGTATTCAACACAATATTAACTAGGGAGTATATTTCTAGTCAGCCATAAGGTACAATACGATACCAAAAAAATAGCTTCTCATACAAATGCTGACTTACCCATACTATCGGCACTTAATGCTAATGCTACCTTAATGCTGTATGGAGAGCAAAGTATGGCCGTCCATGACATCGATGACTGCATCGCTGTATGGAGAGCATCAAGTATAAGTATGGCCGTCCATGACATCACTGCCTCGCTGTATGGAGAGCAAGGTATGGCCCTCGATGACATCACTGTGTCGCTGTATGAAGAGCAAAGTATGGCCCTCGATGACATCACGCATCGCTGTATGGAGAGCTAAGTATGGCCGTCCATTACATCACTGCGTCGCTGTATGGAGAGCAAAGTATGGCCCTCGATGACATCACTGCCTAGCTGTATGGAGAGCAAGGTATGGCCCTCGATGACATCACTGTGTCGCTGTATGAAGAGCAAAGTATGGCCCTCGATGACATCACTGCATCGCTGTATGGAGAGCTAAGTATGGCCGTCCATGACATCACTGCCTCGCTGTATGGAGAGCTAAGTATGGCCGTCCATGACATCACTGCCTCGCTGTATGGAGAGCAAGGTATGGCCCTCAATGACATCACTGCCTCGCTGTATGGAGAGCAAAGTATAGCCGTCCATGACATTACTGCGTCGCTGTATGGAGAGCAAAGTATGGCCCTCAATGACATCACTGCGTCACTGTATGGAGAGCAAAGTATGGCCGTCCATGACATCACTGCGTCACTGTATGGAGAGCAAAGTATGGCCCTCGATTACATTACTGCGTCGCTGTATGGAGAGCAAAGTGTGGCCCTCGATGACATCACTGCGTCGCTATATGGAGAGCAAGAAACTTCACAGCATGTGGTAATGTCAGAAATGTAGCTTTATTTTTGGAAATATTAATGTTACAATACTTGAGTTGTTTCACTGTTATTCTGTCTAAATTTTGCTCTCTGTGCATTTTGACACAAGGCAATGTGACATTTAGCATTCATTTTTCAAAGTGGCGTGCCAATTGTTTGTGGTAATTGATAGAAGGCTGAAGCATAAAGTGCATTTTAATTTGCATGCCGAAAAAAGTTTACTTTTACGCATGCCTCCTAACTGTCCTTATTTTGGCGGGACAGTCCTGACTTAGATCCCGGTTGTCAAGCTTTTGGGGACACCAGGTGACAGTCCCCTGCACACTGAATACACTGAAACAGTGCTCCGGCTTAAATGATTGGCAGGCAGCCTACCGTTTTCACGCTGTTTCTAGAATACCCCCCAAAGAAAATAAAACTGCATAATAAATGCATGCATGTTTTGATGGTGGCATATTTGCAAAATAGTGGGAAATAAATTGTATTTGGGAGTGGAATGTCCCTTTAATGAGCTAAAATTAGTAATTTATTGAATAGCTCTGCACATATACAAATATGGGTGTAAAATTGCCCTGTATGTGTTTTAGAGTTTTCTAAACACAAATGCCAAAATGAACAGAACACTAGAATTTCTGTCTGTTTAAAAAGCTAGCATAGACCCACACAATGTTCTGCATGGCAATCTGTTACAAACCTAAAACTGTTTTGCCCAAAATGCTGAATGCACTATTATTCTATATACATATCGCAGATCAAAAAGGCAGAGAGGGTTATTTTTTAAAGTAAGAATTGCAAAGAATTCTCAAACCATCCGACAACCAGAACCGCAGAGACCCAGCCTCCAACCACAAGGAAACCGCGATACGACAGAACACCCCAATACCAACTTAGGACTTCCCCACCAAAGACAACCTACCACCCATCCCCAAGGACCCAACCAACACAGTGACACAAGGGGTCCAAACACGGCCAAAACCGCTATGAATCAAATGTACTCCATGCTGACAATGTATATGTATCTGATGCACATATGTAAAAAGCCGAATTGTTTGGATCCTCTAACTCCCCATTCCTTTATTCTGTATCCCCTCCCCCGAATACCTACAACAAATTCTTTAAATAAAGAATAAAAAAAAAAAAGAATTACAAAGAATTCTAAGCGAATTCAAATACTTAGTCCAAAATAGTCAAATTATGAACTTCAAGTCAGCTCTGTTTTAAAGGGACACTGTAGTCACCTGAACAACTTCAGCTTAATGAGGTTGTTCAGGTGAGAACTATGGCTCCCTGCAGCCTTTCTCTTGTAAACACTGTATTTTCTGAGAAAATACAGTGCTTACATTGAAAGCTAGGAACACCTCCAGTTGCAGTCACTCAGAGTGAACCAGAGGGACTTCAGAGTTGATGGAGGCATAATATGCCTCCATCCACTCAGATGTGCTGTCAGCAGAGCACATGGCAGCACTGTGCACAGCATCCTGTGATTCAGTGTCTCCTCCCTCTGCATGCAGACACTGAACTTTCCTCATAGAGATTCATTGATTCAATTCATCTCTATGAGGAGATGCTGATAGGCCAGGGCTGTGTTTGAATCATGCTGGCTCTGCCCCTGATCTGCTTCTTTGTCAGTCTCAGCCAATCCTATGGGGAAGCACTATGATTGGATAAGGCTGCCACATGTCAGCAGACTGCTTTTTTTTCTGAGTCTCACAGCATGCAGAGTTACAGCTTCTGGCTTGAATACAGTAAGATTTTTACTATATTTATGGAGGCATGAGGGGCCCAGGGGGCCAAATGGTGGTGTTAACACTATAGGGTCAGGAATACATGTTTGTGTTCCTGACCCTATAGTGATCCTTTAAATTTGACTCTTTTGACCTTAAATATGAAATTCACTTTGAAATTGGTGCACTTTTCATCATATACCATAATTGAAGCTGTGTCATTGAAAAATCTGTATTATTATTTATTATGCAACAGGTAAAGTATTAACAATGCTATTATTTTGTGTTGAATCTGTGCTTTCGGATTGGTAATAGTTGGTAAAACCACTTCTGTATTCTATGAATTCTCATTTACAAAATAGTACAATAACAGAAAAACAATGTATAATGAGTTTGATTTATTAACATCTTTGAGGGAAAAAAAAAAAGCACAGTTTCATTTATTAATATATTAATTAAATCCATGCTGCACCCGAGAAAATGAAATCTAGTAATATGTATAGATATTGGTTGGAAGTGCATTTAAAACAAAAAATGTAGACATTTAAGTGCATCTAAAGTGACAAAGTGGGATATCAATCAAAGTGTTTTGAAAACTTTGTTGATCATATTTATTAGTGATCTAAAAAGTGACAGTTTATTTTATAGTAAATTTCGCCAGCTTTTGTGGTTTATTTTTTGCTTTTGTAGTGGTGGGAAAACACTTTCCTGTGGGAAAAGTGATAAAAAAAATTTGTGTAAATCTGTTGCTTAATATGAAAAAAAGGTAGTACATTATACAATGATGATTATGGAGCAAGGAAGGCAACAGATGGGAAAATTTAACAGATTCAATACATTGTGTCAAAAATTGGACAAAAATTAGACAGAAGAGTGTTAGTGACACTAGTGACATAATTCTCCCCCATTGAGTTATAAAAGAGGAATAATCTAAACCTTTTGCATGCATTTTTTTTTTTCACTGGGAAGCCATTGGTAGGCTGGGAACATCAACTGACACGCTTAGGCTTTCCAAGGTTCCAATTTGATGCTTCTTCATTGAACCCTGGGTCTGAATGGAGAGCAAAGTATGGCCGTCCATGACATCACTGCGTCGCTGTATGGAGAGCTAAGTATGGCCGTCCATGACATCACTGCCTCGCTGTATGGAGAGCAAAGTATGGCCATCCATGACATCACTTCGTCACTGTATGGAGACCAAAGTATGACCGTCCATGACATCACTTCATCGCTGTATGGAGAGCAAAGTATGCCCCTCAATGACATCACTGCCTTGCTGTATGGAGAGCAAAGTATGGCCCTCGATGACATCACTGTGTTGCTGTGAGGAGAGCAAAGTATGGCCCTCGATGACATCACTGCGTCACTGTATGGAGAGCAAAGTGTGGCCCTCTATGACATCACTGCGTCACTGTATGGAGAGCAAAGTATGGCCGTCCATGACATCACTGCGTCGCTGTATGGAGAGCAAAGTATGGCCCTCAATTACATTACTGCGCCGCTGTATGGAGAGAAAAGTGTGGCCCTCGATGACATCACTGCGTCGCTGTATGCAGAGCAAGAAACTTCACAGCATGTGGTAATGTCAGAAATGTAGCTTTATTTTGGGAAATATTAATGTTACAATACTTGAGTTGTTGCACTGTTATTCGGTCTATATTTTGCTGTCTGTGCATTTTGACACAAGGCCATGTGACATTTAGCATTCATTTTTCAAAGTGGCTTGCCAATTGTTTGTGGTAATTGATAGAAGGCTGAAGCGTAAAGTGCATTTTAATTTGCATGCCAAAAAAAGTTTACTTTTACGCATGCCTCCTAACTGTCTTGATTTTGGCGGACAGCTTCCCTTTCTTTGAGGCAAAGAGAAGCCGGGTGGACAGACGCAGTCTGGACAATTTTGAGTTTAAACTATTTTAAACCAGTTTATTAAAAACTGCAATAATTACCTGCGCAGGGTTAAGGGACCTGGGATACTGCACCCACTTCAATGAGCTGTCTGGAGAGTTCCTATAAAGGGGAATTCTCAGTTTCCAGAGAATTGTGAATATTATGTTAAGTATATTAAATATACAATTCAATACTGCAGCATTTACTTCTATCCTGGAATTGAGTTCCTCCATCTTGGCTCTCAGTCATATTGATAAAGAGAGTATAGAGAAATGTATGACCTGGCTTTGCCTGGGCTAAGCTCAATTGCGCCGCACTTTGGAGAGTTTTGTTGCTGTTGGTGCCTACTCACCGTGCTCTTCCTGCACCACGACCTGTAATGATGTTGTAGCCAGGATCTGACATGGGTACACTTCCCAAATTTGTAGCCTACAGTCAGACACCTTAAAAGTAAACCTAACCATATCTGTGGGTCCTGAAGGTATGGGAATCACAACGGTGGGGCTCTCACACAGCCATTCTGGGCAGGACACTCATGATATCTGTGTGAGAGCCATGCAATCGAGGAGGAAAGTGTGAGTAGTGTGAAAGGGGGCAGCAGAATACATCCTTACCTGTGTAACCGTAAATCTTTCTGCTGTCCAGGATTCTGGGTACTTTGAGATGGTCAATGCTCAGTACTGTTTATGTGGAATACATTATTTTTGGCTTTCATTATTTTCTTCTTTAGAGCTACATCTTAAGGGGCTCTAAAGAAGAAAGGAAACCCAACAGAAATTAGTATTTGTTTTGCTTCTTAATTTTAATAAAATATGCCAGTGATATATGAATGAGCAGCCACCTGCCTACCAATAAAAATAATGGATTGGTTGGCAGTTTTACTTTTATACCTTTTTAGGTACTCGACCCAGCCTTTACATCCCCTATTCCTTGTAAAATAATAAACGTGTCTACGTAGCCAAGCTTGCTGGGAGTAACAGCAGAACTTGGACGGATGGTGACAAAAGCTATTGGGCTCTCTCCAGGGGACCCTTGGTTTGGACTCTCCTTCTTATCAAGTCACCATGCTAACCAACTTATGGCCAATCACCCATGTATTATGGGTGAATCAGAGGGTTTATATTGCTGGACTGACACCTTGTTGATCTTTGGCCATATATCATTAGGGTCTCGAGACGGGGATGATTTGGGCTGCTTTGGGATTACACACCCAAACCTGGATCATTATGAGCGTATCCCTAATCAGGAATTTCTTGTTGTATGAGTGGTTAGCGGCATATAGTTCCTGGGCAGGGCAAGGGGCTTCTCTGGAGACCAGGCACCAGTGAGATCTTAAAGTGCTGTTGCATGATCTCTTGGGAGGACACTCGTGCCTCACCTTGCGCATCATCTCTAACTCCGATTGTTATATAACTTACCATTGCGCAAAATTTTGAAGATTTCAAGTGGCAGATTACAAGGCCCTCTTACTGTGGTTTAGAATTCCCCAGCTCATCCATGCTATTGATCTACTTACTAGTAGAATACACACAGAGCCTAAATACTTCAAATACAGTTTAAAAATACTGTGCTGCATAAATAGACTTGAAATAACTAAGTTTCCCCAAAAAAATACTAGTAGCCCCAGTCTACAACTGGTAATTAGTACATCTAAGGGCATAGACTCGTAAGTAGTTCAAATTGGCACTATCAATGGTGCTAAAATAAATGATTGTTTGAAGCATTTATTCTCTGTGTATATTACCCTGCCACTAATCATTGTATTGTTGTGCCTGTGTTGTATTGCTGTTTGTGTCACAGTCGTGCTAGTCCTGGGCATTTTTCAGGGCCGGACTGGCCCACCGGGATACCGGGAAATTTCCCGGTAGACTGTCGGCACCTGGGGCCGGGCAGACATCTGGATGTGCTGGAGGAGCTGGAATGGCGGCCACTGGAGGAGCTGGGATGGCGGGCGCTGGGGAAACTGTGCTGTCTCTGCTCCCCTGCCTTTGCGCGCTACTTAATGAGACTGGGGCCCCAGTCTCATTAAGTAGCTCGCAAGGGCGGAGGAGCAGAGACAGCACAGCTTCCCCAGCGGCCGCCATCCCAGCTCCTCCAGCGGCCACCATTCCGGCTCCTTCTGCGGCTGCCTTCCCAGCTCCTCAAGTGGCCGCCAGCACACACGTAGTATGTGTGTGTGTCATGGTATATGTGTGTGTCTGTCATGGTGTATGTGTGTGTTTAAATATAGTGTTTTTTACGCCATGCTGGTCTCCTTTCAACTAGCCCTGCCTCTATGGCTGAGATCATCAAGCTTGCCATAGGATTGGCTGCAATACGCTACACCAATCAGCATCTCCTCATAGAGATGCATTGAATCAATGTATCTCTATGGGGAACCTTCAGCGGCTCCAGAGCATGGAGGCCCCGAATGTCACTGACACAGGAAGCACCTCTAGTGACCGTCTGAGTGACTGTCACTAGAGGTGTCACTAGGAAGCAATGTAAACACTGCATTTTCTCTGAAAAGTCAGTGTTTACATTGAAAAGCCTGCAGGGACAGGCTATAGACACCAGAACCACTACATTAAGCTGTGTGTGTGTTTCTGCGCATGCTAGTGAGTGAGCTTGCTTGCATGTTTGTGTGTGTGTGTGTGTGTGTGTTTGTGTGTGTGTCTGCGAGTGAGTGAGCTTGTGTTTTTGTCAATGAGCTTATGTATATCAGTGAGATTGTTTGTCTATGAGTCTGTGTATGAATGAGCTTGTGTGTGTCAGTGAGATTGTCTGTGTCTGCATGTGAGTATGCTTACTGTCTAATTAAACATTTTACTATGAAAGGACCAATATTTTATATTTAGAAAAAGCAATATACATTTGAAATATATATATATATATATATATATATATATATATATATATATACATATATATATATTACTCAATCATCTAGGGTGGCAAGACATAGCCTTACATATTACATGCGACAATATATGGTGCAATGACTTATGGCCTGGCATATTTTTTTTTTCCAGGGCTGCTTTGTATCCCCAGTCCAGCCCTGGCATTTTTAATCCCCTGCTTTTATTATCTATTAAAAGTTAAGATTTTTTTCCTAAACTCCCCTCCCTTCTATGTTTCTGGTATACCATCCACTTGTTTGGTCGAGGCTCTGTGCGATTTTTAAATATACAGGAGATAATGACAATAAACTACTATTGCAGCGGTGTGGTGGTGTTTGTATGTGGGTAGTGCTTGATCTTCTAACGCTGGGGCTATGTGAGTTGTCAGTCTGCAATTGGCTACCAATAAGTGCTGCTCATATTATTAGCAAATTTATAGCTGAAACGTTGTTGATTTTTTTTTTTTTCAACTTCACATTCATAATGAAGGTATAATCAAATGGATGAGATCAGAAAAGAACAAAGACATTTTATACAATATAAAGTGACTCTAGGTCGTGCTTGTAAGTACAGATGCATGTTAAGATACCATAATTGTAATACACCAATGTATTGCTTTTTTTAATATAGTTAACTAACAATAGCAAATTATAACAAATTAATTTGAACACCTTTCACTCTTGACATTACTCTAGATTCAGCAGTATTTCAAGCACAATTTGCTTATCTATCTAATGCAGAAGATAGAGAGAGTGAGCAACACTATTTTCAAGTATATTTTTTATGAATACCTTTTGTATTCAGTTTAGCTACAAACCAGATTTATTTAATAACAAACATGCTATTGATGCTGTGTATTAGATTACATTTTTAGATGATTAGAACATAATTAAATTGAAATAATAAGCATTTCTTTTGGTACATATTCATTTAATTAATTTGAGTAATATAGCGCGTGGATTGAAACATTTAGCTGGTGTTTAATGCATACATTTACATCTGTTTATGCATATTTACCATTTTACATATTTTTAGCTTGGAGAAAAGGTAGCTCATCAAATCAGTCATTCTTAATTCCGGAACCCCATACTGCAACATGCTCTGACATATGTTTCCAAAGGGCTTTCCATTCCTAAGTATTTCAAGATATTTTTCCTTCTTAACTCTATAATGATGATATATCATACTTATGTTATAATACAGAGCTATACATTCTTGTTTTCATTTCATCTAACTAGGGGCCTGAAAAAATTATATTCCCTTTGAAAACACCATAATGAGATACTGTAAAGGTAAAGTTTTATAGTATAATCCCTAAACTGCAACTATACATTTTTAGTGACAAACTGATTTTTTTTATTCGGAAATATGTTGTAGGTTCTGGTTGATAAACAATGAAATTGAGCAATTCAGACTTTTTAGTTTTCTAACTCCACAAATTCACCATTGATTTTGTAAGCTGGATGTCAACTAGCTGTTTGTGAACCCTTATTTGAGCCCATGTTGCATCCGATCTATGCTGACAGCATAACTCTATTTTAGGAGCCAAACGCCTCTCGGGCCAATCAGCATCACCTCATGGAGATGCATTGAATCAATGGATCTCTATGAGGAAAGTTGTGTTTTCATGCAGAGGGTGGAGACACTGAATGTCATTCACACTGTGAAGCACTGCCCCAGAAAGTACCTCTTTGTAGCCATCTGAGGAGTGGCCAGTGGAGGTATCTCTAGGAAGCGACCGTTTCCCTGCAGGGACTGACTACACTTGACAGAACAACTACATAAAGTTGTAGTTATTCTGGTGACTTTACTGTCCCTTTAAATTTGAAAG